ACGGTTGATTTTGTAGGTTCTGTACTAACCCGTTCTCATGCTGCTGCGAAGAAATACCAGAGACTGGGTAATTTATGAAGAAAAGAGGTTTAATTGACTCACAGTTCCACATGGCTGGGGAGGCTTCAGGAAACATACAATCATGGCGGAAGGCACCTCCTCACAGAGCAGTGGGAGAGAGAATGAGTGCCAACAGGGGAAATGCCAGATGCTTATGAAACCATCAGATCTTGGGAGAACTCACCGTCATGAGAACAGCATGAGGGAACGCGCCGCGTGCCTCCACCCCATCCCGCCCTTGACACGTGGGGATTATTACAATTCAGGGTGAGATTTTGGTGGGACACAGAGCCAAACCATATCACTTTCCCTGTTATTTAGTGCGTAATTGTAATACTGTGAATATAATAGGTGGCAGTCACTCATTTTAATCCATAAAGGTACAAAGCGGTTATATATCCTTAGATGCCATCACACATGTCCACGGGCCTTTCCTGTGCTCCAGAGAAGCCCCACGCCTGTCTTTTCCTCCCTGCTCCTTTAGTTTCCGATGGCCTTGAGATGCCAGGCCAAGGAGGAAAACCTGAGACTCCTGGTGACAGGGTGTCCTCTGTCTCCATCCATCAGCGCTGACCCTAAACCCTGGCATTGCTTCATCTCTTCATCTTCTGTGTTTCCCTTGGCTTTTCTCCACCTTGATGAAGATTTCTTTTAAATCTTTTGACCCCTGAAGTCTCTGCTTGGGGCCTGTAGGTGGAGATGGTTGATGAGGAGGGGCCCTGAGGTATCAGGGAGGGTGTGCAGCTTGTGGGATCCCCTCCTTTCCTGGGCGACGAGATGCTTGCTGGCTTCTTGCACACTTGGCTTCCATTGTTTTTCATGGGATTTCCTTGCTGTATCTGGACTCAGATGATACAGATGAAGGTTGTCAGGTAGGCAGTAGTGGAAGGCTGACACAGAGGAGCTCAGTGTTTGGGAGAATCGAGTGGCTTAATTGCAAGAAAGGGTGTCTTGTGAAGTAATTACCTCCTGACTGAAGGGGTCATTTAAGCAGCAGCTCCAAGTAAGACTCCACATTGGGCTAGAAGGTCGAAGGGTGACCGACTAGATGCCTTCCTGCTATAAGCCAAGGACTAGCACTCTTCAGTAACCATCACAACCCTGTAAAATCCCTTTTTGTGAAGAAGGGAAACAGACTGATAGACTTGTCCAGCTGCAGGCAGTCAGTGGCAGAGCGCAGCTGTGAGCCCAGGTCCACCTGGCTGCAGAGGCCAGCTCTTTACCTGTCGCCATGCTGCTATGCAGGTGCCGTTGGCAGTGTCTGCTTCCCCCTGGGGCTGGAGACTTTGCAGGAGCCATTGCCTGTAAACCTTTAACATTGGGAGAAACGCACCCCAAGACCTGTGAATCTCCAAATTTAAAAGTAATAGAATAACTTTTCTTTCAAAAGATACAGTATCATAAAAGAAAAGCATTTATGTGGTCCCTCCAAACTTTTTGAGAGCTAATGTTTCTAGGTATTAGTAAGGACCGCCAGTGCTAACACACTACATTAAATCAGTAACTGTGTGTTCGGGGAGCCACTGACTGCCTGATGTCATTGTGACCTGTAGATGGGCCAGCAGGAGCTTCGGGGATTTCTTGTCAACACTCCTTCCTTCCTTTTCCTTTCCCTGTAGTCAGATATTTATTAGAGGCTACATTGTGTGGTGAACTACTGTCTTGTAATTGACCGTTTGAAAATGTACTTGAAGTGTAAACAGACTGGAATGGAGAACATTAAAGGATGATCTTGTTTCTTTGTAGCAGTGGACAGGGAGGGCTGATTAGGTAGGGTGTAAGTAGATTTTGAATAATTGTGCCACTTTTTAGTTTTTCTTCTTGGACTTACACATTAGGATTGGGTTATGGAAATTTGGTTTTATGATGATAAAGACTTTTTATCCAGATGAAACAAAAAAATTAGTGTTCTTTGTTCTCTTATGTAGATCAGTTATTTGTTTTTAAAGGCTATGATGACATAAACATAAAACACCTACCAAGATTGGCAGCGAAAGTTGTAACCCATTTGTAAAATCAGGAATACTAAGTACTCCTTTAATGATGCAGTGAATAAAGTGTCTGTGTCCGCGAGGCGCGGCAGTGAGTCCTCTTTGTTTTGCTGTGCTGGAAGGCGGGCAGTGTAGGGATTGAGTGGCACCAGTGTTTGACTGCACTTGCCTCTCCACGCCTCGTGACCCCCCGGGAAGCTGGCACTGGCTGAGCTCAGCTCTCTGGGCCTTTCTTCAGCGCTGTGGGTTGTAAAAGCTGCCTTTTCTCTGAAAACTGCCTGCGTCCTCTGGGTTCCCAGCGTTGGGGGGATGGAGCTGTGGCCGCCAGGCTGTGAGGTCTCATGGGGTCCTGCAGCAGCCAGAGCATGCAGAAGACAAGGAGGGGAAGAAAGGTGGTAAGTGGCTCCCAGGGCTGCGCCCTGAGGTCAGGAAGGCCAACAACCTCCTGGCAGAGGGAGTGGGCACCCCAGCTGGAGCCTGGGAGCCAGGCCTGGCTATGTGTTTGAGGAAAAGTTAAGTGTAACTTGCATTGTTTGGTTGGGAGTAATACAGGAGTTGTGTTTAGCACCCTATTTAAAAGTAGTGTTTAAGACTATTTGTTGAATTAACCAACTTAACTATGTTAACGAATGTAGCCTTTTGGCAGAGGCTCTTTGGAGTCATTTTTGGTGCTTATTTCTACAACTAGTGCTTAGTGCTGTGACGGACAAAAGGTCACTGTATTTTATTCTCTTATTCGTGCTAGTGATAGTTTCTAGTGGCTGCTTTCTTATCTCACATAGGAACATTTTTCTCTTTGAAAATAAGTGTATAGATCGTCAGGTGTGCAATGAGCAGTATTGGTAAGTTGGTATCCAATATTTGTAATTAAGAAGCTAAATCATATTTCCTATCTTTAACACTGAAAAGGCCTTTTCTGATACGTCTGCGACAGATCTTACTTTATCTTATTTAGCTCGACATCGCATTATGCTTGACTGGCTTCTCCCGTTGCTTTGGAGGACAGGCCTGGTTTAGAGTAGTGTCTCTGGGGTGGGGTGGCTGGCATCACGGCTTGCCTCTGCTCACCAGACCTGTGACATTTGTGTTCAATGGGAAGTTCACAGAAGGAAGACATTGTGGTTGTGGGGTCAGCATTTCCCCCGAAGAGCCAGCCCCCGGCAGGGCCCCTCGCTCTGGCTCTCCCACGGTCGTCTCCCATGAATAGATCCCTTCAGGGATGAGCCGGAGCTCCTTGTCACCAGTGGAAGAGCCTCTCTTTTTTTTGCCCAAGTAGTTTAGTAAGTGATTTAATCAGATTTGCATTTACTCAGGAATGACTGTACTCTTTCTCAGAGTTTACAGTCAACAGTAGCAAACAGAATAATGACCCGGGTTGTCTTTACTAAAGCTGAAATTTAAATTTAACTTAATGACTTTTTTCTTAAATGTTTAAATTTACATTTGGATTGTCAAAAATTATGGGGACAAACTGAGCATGTTTAATATCTTTATTACTTCTGTACGATTTCTTTTGTATGAGTAATTGAGAATGTATTGTTAGCTCTGGGAGACAAATAGCACATCGCATGTACTAGATGTGCAGAAAATACATGTAGTGTGATTTTCTGATTTAAAAAGCACTAGCTCTGTGACAGAGTTGGGTGAGAAACAATGGAGGCAAGGATTCCGCTTTCTTCACTTACGTCTGGTCCTTCAGGGTCCTCAGCGCAGTCGTCAGTCTCATGCCAAAGAAGACAGTGTGGAGTCGTCAGTCTCATGCCAAAGAAGACAGTGTGGTGCGGCGCAGTGGCAGGAGGACCTGGGGCCGCTCTCTGGCTCTGCTTTTCCCAGCTGTTTGAGTTGGGAGAAGTCAGCTTCTCTAAGAGGAAAGGTTGTGTGTGCACAGCACCTTGCTCAGTGCCAGGACTGCGAGGAGCACCTGCAGTTCACATCCAGGTGCCTTCTCGTCCCGCCCTGGGCTGGGCCTTTGCTGCAGTGATTGCTGGTGGAAAGCATTCCTGCTTGGTTTCACCAGTTTTGCACTTTATATTTGTCTGTCAGTTTTTAAGACTTAAATTATTTTGGCTAAATTTGCTACACTAATGCAGGGTATTGGGAAAATTTTAATTTTAAGGTTAATTTATAATTATTTTGCTATCTTTAAATGAAGTAGTAAAGATTGTTTACATGGATAAACCTTTGGTTTTTAATCAATGTGGTAATAACGTGTCTGAGACGGTCATATTCACAAGGGAAAGTCTGTAGTTCCCAGAAATTGGTTTCAACTTTTAGATGCAATCTAAAGACTAAACTGTTTTTTTTTTAGTTGAGAGTAATGTTACATATGTTAAAATACATAGATTTTAAAGGCACAGTCCAGTGAGCTTTGACAATGTATGTATCTGTTGTAACCGCTACCCAAATCAAAATACAGAACCTATTTATCACCTTAGAAATTTACCTCATTCTCCTTTCCCTGTTGTCCCTGCCCCCCATCCTACCCTTTACCTCTTCTCTGATTTCTGTCACCATAGATTAGTTTTGCCATCTCTTAGACTTAATATAAATGGAATGATGCAGGATGTCCTTTTTGGGAATGGCTTCTCTTGCACAACACAGTGTTGTAGAGATTGATCTGTGTGTCCGTGCGGTTGTGATTCTTGGCGACTTCTCCTTTTTATCTAAACAGACGTGGCGTCTGATGATGGAATTCTTCCTTCATCCTAGGTATACCTGTGTCAGATATGGTTAGCAGTAAGATAAAGTCAGTTGTGTGGCCTTAGTAATAATTCATTACATGGGTTTAATAGTCAATAATCACAAAGATACTGTGATACTCCATACTTGAGTATTACATAGAAGTAATAGTATGAATGAACAATGGTGATGAACTGTCCAAAGTATATAAATCTTAGCGTCAAATAGCAATTGAAATGTCAAATAACACTTATTCATCGTTTATTATAGGTGCTACAGAATATTTTAGAAACAGAAAATGAATATTCTAAAGAACTTCAGACTGTGCTTTCAACCTACCTACGGCCATTGCAGACCAGTGAGAAGTAAGTTAGATGATAAATTGCATTAACTATAAATAGTCTAAACCTTAGGCTGTTCTCTTGTATTTTCAGAAAATAGAGGGTTAAATAGTAAAACAGAATTTAGAGTGTCAGTTTGCCTTAGACATCAGCAATTTATTAGGTTAAGACTTCAATAGGACATTGGGATGGCAAAGGAGAAGAATATAAGTAAAACTGTTTACATATGTTTACTGTTATTTTTCTTGGCTCTAGGTTAAGTTCAGCAAACATTTCATATTTAATGGGAAATCTAGAAGAAATATGTTCTTTCCAGCAAATGCTCGTACAGTCTTTAGAAGAATGCACCAAGTAAGTAAGATGCTAAAAATTTGCAAAACTCAGGTTGGTATAATTGGTATTTAAAGGATTAAGTGTGAAATAATTTTATAATTCACATTTCTAAAGATGCAAACTTATTTTAAATCACATCAGCTTTTATAGTAAAAGCTGTATTTAGACTCTCTGGTTTGTATAGCAGGAATCTTCAGAGAAAGACTCGACAAGAATATGGTGGTTTTTAAGGGGTTCCGTGGAGGAAGAGGAGGGATGGAGAGCCTCTGGGAGAGAAGGGAGAATGGCTTGACATCAGGACCACTGAGGGGACAAGTGACTCAGCTCCTTGTGTGCCCTGGGTGCTGCGCAGGGGCCCTTGAAGGCCAGGCCTTTCCAGCAGCGTCCTGTAGCTTGCCTGCTGTTTCTGGCCTTCCAGAAGCAGACACAGTGCTTCCTGAAATAACATGTTAGGTTGATGCAAAAGTAATTGTGGTTTTGGACTGTGAATTTTAAACCATGACTAGGCTCAGACACATCTTTATTAATCAAGATCCATTCCAGTCAACACATTTTTGCCAGTGAGAAATGTTTTATCCCTGTAGCGTAAAAATCTGTGCTTTGGGATTCGACAAACTTGGAAAGCACTTTCTGCATTCTGCTGGTTGTCAAAGCATTTTCCATGCAAAAAATTGGCAAGATGCTTGAAGAAGTGGTGGTCGGTTGGTTGAGAGGTCAGGTGAATATGGCAGATGAGGCAAAACTTCACAGCCCAATTTTTCCACTTTTGAAGCGTTGGTTGTGTGACGTGCGGTCGGGTGTTGTGGAGAAGAATTGGGCCCTTCCTGTTGACCAATACCGGCTGCAGGCGTTGCAGTTTTCAGTGTATCTCATTGATTTGCTGAGTATACTTCTCGGATGTAATGGTTTTGTGGAGATTCAGAAAGCTGTAGTGGATCAGACCGGCAGCAGACCACCAGACAGTGACATGACCTTTTTCTGCTGCAAGTTTGGCTTTGGGAAGTGCTTTGGAGCTTCTTGGTCCAACCACTGAGCTAGTTGTCACTGGTTGTTGTCTAAGACCCACTTGTTGGCGTATGTCACAATCTGATTGAGACATGGTTCATTGTGTAGAATAAGAGGTGACATTTCAAAATGATGATTTTTTTGATTCTCGCTCAGCTCATGAGGCACCCACTTACTGAGCTTTTTCACCTTTTCAAATTGCTTCAAATGCTGATCAACTGTATAATGGCCGATGTTGAGTTCTTCAGCAGCTTCTCGTGTAGTTGTAAGAGGATCAGCTTCAGTGATGGCTGTCAGTTGGTTGTTGTCAACTTCCGACGGCCAGCCACTCCGCTCCTCATCTTCAAGGCTCTCGTCCCCTCTGCAAAACTTCTTGAACCACCACTGCACTATGTGTTCATTAGCAGATCCTGGGCCAAATGCGTTGTTGATGTTGGAAATTGTTCCGCTGCTTTATGACTTAGTTTGAACTCGAATAAGAAAATCACTCAAATTTGTCTGTTGTCTAACATCATTTCCATAGTCTAAAACATAAACAGCAAGTAATAAGTCATTAGCAAAAAACCGTAAAGTGAAATATGCATTAAAATGATATATAACTACATTTATTTAAGAATGTATTCCAGTATCAGATGGCGAATTTCAACAATGCAAAAACCACAAATACGTTTGTACCAACCTGATATAACGTGCTATGTTGATGAACTAGGGCTTTGAGGCTTTGTCCTTTTCTGAAATTTTCCTTTGGAGGGACGGAGGCATGTTCTGAATAATCAGCCATCAGTTTTTTTCTGTGTGACTATTTTATGTTCTTTGTTTACATCAGGCATTAAAGGATATTTGTTAATTTCCTGCCAGGTGACTTAAAACAGTAGTGCACATGGAAAGTTTTAGGTTTTAGTAGTCTACCAGGCGATGTTTCTTTACTTGCGGATTTGATGAAGTCGACACATTTTATTTTTAAATTATCTTTGATCTTTAGTCATGTAACCCCCAGAAAAGATCACAGTACATTATTCCCTTGGGTTTCGGTTGTTCTCTGGTTTTCCCTTCAGCTTGTGTCTTTAGGTTTTGAACGTGATGAGGGAGTGGCCTTCCTTTTGTGCCACTAGTTGTTGCAGTTCATGACAGTTTACCAACCATGATGAAAATACTTTGTTCCCTTAACTTTTTGGCTGGGCTTTGAGGTTTTGTCAAGGCACTTTATACTGGACTATCGATATGGCAAGGAAAGCTGAAGGCCAGAGTAACAGAATATTATTAGAAACCGTAAGTGAATATTCCATAGAACTTCAGACTGTATTTTCAGCCCATCTGCAGGCCATTGTTTTTACTTTTATAGCATTTTTGGTTTGCACAAAGTGGCATTATTATTAATTTTTTATTTTTAATTATACCTTGTGTTCTAGGGTACATGTGCACAACGTGCATGTTTGTTACATATGTATACATGTGCCATGTTGGTGTGCTGCACCCATTAACTCATCATTTGCATTATTTACATGACCATGAAAGAACACCTTGGGAATCACTTTGATTTTCTTTTGGTGAAGGAAGGTCATTTGCTAATAATTTGAAGTCTTTGTAAGGGTTCATATTGTGCTCAAAATGGAAGTAAATGCTTGTCTCCATTTTTCTCACTGGCCGCAGAGAATGTGGTCTAACAAATTATTACAGTACATTTTAAAAAACACAGTTTTCAGTACCTCTGTTGGGCATTATATTAGCCCCGTGAATTATTATCCTCACGTTACTGATTAAAAAGCTGAAATAAAGGGCAGTAAAGTAATAGGCTTGAAGCCATATGTTTAAGGCTTCAGTCCTTATGTTATCTCAGAATTTGGTATGGCTTAGGTATTATTTTGATCAAGTTTGTCAAATTTATGCTACATGTATACGAGGTGTTAGAGTTCCACGGGGAAATGGAATGTACAGGACAAAGTTTTCCTTCTCAGCTATTTCTCTTCTTTTTTATTATGAATATTCTGAAATTTTCATCATTCCCATTTTTAAGACTGTTACTTTCGTCTTTTTGTCCTATGTGTGAAATTTCGGTACCATTTTACAGTCTACCAAATGCCATATATATACACACATACATATACGTGTGTGTGTGTATATATATGTATACACACACACACACATATATATGTGCATATATATAACAGTTTCATATTCATTTTTTTTTTTTGGGGTACGGAATCTTGCTCTGTTGCCCAGGCTGGAGTGCAGTGGTGTGGTCTCAGCTCCTTGTAACCTCTGTCTGCGGAGTTCAAGTGATTCTCCTGCCTCAGCCTCCCAAGTAACTGGGACTACAGGCGTGCACCGCCACTCCCGGCTAATTTTTGTATTTTTAGTAGAGATGGGGTTTCATCATGTTGGTCAGGCTGGTCTTGAGTTCCTCACCTCAAATGAACCACCCGCCTCAGCCTCCCAAAGTGTTGGAATTACAGGCTTGAGCCACCATGCCTGGCCTTCATATTCATTATTTCTTTTGATTTTTTTTTTTTTTTTAATCTCTACACGGGCTTGATTCCTAAACGTCCAGCCCCTTTCAAGCTGCCTGTTGGTTACACCCAGGAGTTGGCAAACTATGGGCTGGGTCAGATTCCGCCTACCACCTGTTTCTATAAACAAAGTTTCACTGGCACGTGCTGTACGTTTTCATTCAGCCATGTTAATGGCTGTGTTTGTACTACAGTGGCAGCACTGGAGTTGTGATAGAAACTGTCTGGCTCACACACCTCAAATATTTACTCCTTGGCTTTTTATAGAAAGCTGGCTGACCCAGGTGAGATGTGCTTTCTCCCTTGGGACCTCGACCTGGCCCTAACCTCTCCATTGCCTGTGCGTTCTGAGGCCCACGTTTGTTTTCTCAGTATTTTTGCCATATAGGATGTCTGTCTTCCCTCCTGAAAATTGAAGTTTCTATCTGGTGTCATTTTTCTTCAGGCAGAGGAACGCTTTAGTTTTTTGTAATTCAGGTGTGTGACTGACAAAAATGATGTTGGATTTTGTTGTCTGAAAATGCTGCCTTCGTTCCTGAAGATTTTTTTTTATTCCCCCTGGATACTGAACTCTGGGTAACAGATTTTTTGTTTCAGCATTTGAAGGCTATTGCTCCGCTGTCTTTTGGCCTTCGCTGTATCTGGTGATTGTCTGGTGACGGCCTCCATTCTGTTCTGATCAGCACCATCTCAGATAGTTGTTCCCCTGTCCGCTTCCTAGATTTTGCCTTTATTTTAGGTTTTTGACATTTTGACAGTGATTATCTCGGGTATGGTTTTCTGACTTCTTGAACTTGAATATTTATGTCTTTTACCAAATGTGGGGAATTTGCGGGCATTATTTCTTCAAATATTTTGCTGCTTTACTGTTTCTGCTCTGCTTTGGGACCCCGGTTCCACACATGTAGACCTTTTGCTGGAGGTCCCGGATTTGCTCATGGCTTTCTAACCTGGTCCCCGCTCTGTTCTTCAGGTTGAATGTCGTCTGCTGTGTCCTAAATGTTCACTGTCTGCCTCTCTACTCTCTTGTTCGTCCCCGTGCAACAAGTTTTTAGTTTGAGAATTATTTTCAGTTCTAGAATTTGTTTCAGTTAAACATTTTTAGTTCTTAGCTAAGACTTTATATTTGTTCATTCACTACAAGAATATTTTTCTTTATATCCTTTAGCAATAATTAGAATCACTGCGTTAAGGTCCCATCTGCTGATTCTTGTATTGTGAGTATGGGTTACGTCTTTGTGATTCTTTTTATTTCTAGTGACTTTGAATTGGGTCCTGTTTACTGTGGGTTGGAGACTCTTGATCATGTTAGGTTTCTAGTGACTTTGAATTGGGTCCTGTTTACTGTGGGTTGGAAACTCTTGACCATGTTAGGTTTCTAGTGACTTTGAATTGGGTCCTGTTTACTGTGGGTTGGAGACTTGATCATGTTAGGTTTCCCTGAAGAGTATTGATTTCCTTGTCTGACAGGCAGTTAACTTGGTCAGGCTCAAATTGCCAACTCTC